TGGCATCGCATCTTTGAAGGCCAACAAGCACCTCTCTACATCAAAGCAAATACCACATGCTTTCAACAAATATATTCACATTTCCCCAGTGGAGCCGCGGTCTCAGAGACTCAGTTTAAGATGCAACAACAGCATCTTCTAAAAATAATTTCATAAATTGTTATTGAAGCCGGAAGTGAGATTATTTTAGTAGGAAGACTGAAGCAATTATAAAATTTGCAGGAATTTAGTAGAAAAATAAAATGATGATTTAAATAGTTTAAAAATAGGTCAAATTTGATTTTAACAGACATGACGAATTACTCGTTGCCGTTACTGTTTTGGTTGATTCTCACAGCTCTCATCAACCCATTTTCCAGCAGCAGCTGTTTTAAGCAAAAAAGCAAAAAAAAAAACTCGACAGACAGACGAAATTAGCAACTAGCTGGAGCATTCAGCAACTAAATGAGTTGCTAATCCACCAAAAGAGAGAACAAAACAGAGCTCAGAGGAGATTGAATATAATGCCGTGTCCACACCAAAGTTTCGCCATGCGTTACTTTCCAAAGTTTGACCGCATGATAATTTCAACTTTACTTTCCGCCATTCCATTCTGTCATCAACCACTATTGCTGCTTTGATGTTGTGGAAGTCAGATATGTTGAAACCAACAGCTCGTGTCTTGGTTCATGACATCATCCGAAAGCGTTTCACCGAGCTCGCGACGGCTGAATTAATCTGGTTTACTTATAAAGCACAATGAATTTGAAAAACAACAAAACTAAAGAAAAAACACATTAATAAATGGATTACGCCGAGGAAATAAATGAATCAAGAACAATTTATCATTTAAATCATAGATCAAATGAAAAACGACAACTTTTCTTCGGTTTCAGCTTCTCAAATGTGAGGATGGATGATTGTAGCAAAATAACCAGACTTGGAGCATGTCATCTTTTAAACTATGGTATAACCAAGAGGATTACTTTAACAGGTGTAATGGGAAAACGTTGTATACGACACAGTATGGGGACTCGGCCAACAGTGTGTCATTGTGGCCAGCCTGAAAGATCTCTATCCACCGCTTTATTAGTTGCTATTTAATTATGTGTGCCGAGTATTCAGATCCATTTATTTCAAGGCTGCATGACTAACTGGTGGTGAAATTTTGCCAACTGCCTCTCTTTGATTGGACAGAATAATTCAGGCCTACACCAATATCAGAGCTATTCAGTTGTTTTTCACCAGAGCATTTATTCACAGTCAGGGCGTGAGAACATTTTTGATTCTGACAGGGGAAGTTTTAAATTACAAAAGAGTCACTGTGGGGGCATTAGCGTGGATGTGGCCCATTTTTGGGCTCATCGAGTAAATTGAAAATGGAAGAATATCCTTGTCTCTCTGAGGACAATTAAGGCGGATAACGTCTGAAAGAGATAGCAGCACTCTGTCTGGATGGCGTGTGGTCAAAAGGAAGATGATTAGTCAGCCTTTTTGATTAATTGGAGTTGAGGTTATGTATAGTCTGCTTTACTTTAGAGACTTGTCAGTACATTCTAGTAGTACTCTGTTTGTCCTGATAAAGTGTTTTTGATTAAAGTGTTTTTGATAACATAATTGTCATGGCTATATTCCAGCTTTACGGTTGTATATCTCTCTGGACTTGATAAGCCATTCATAATCATTTCCGGCCCATGCTGCACTAAAGCGTTTGTATTCTGTAAATGGTTCTCGACAAAGTACGCAATCCCCCTTCAACAAATTCTGCCCGTATTTCATGACAACCCAATACTAACTTTTAATATCAAATATACTATAAACCACTCACAAGTCGGGATGCTTTTGCTTCACCTTGGCCCTTGATCAATAAATAAAGCTTTCAGGGGAGACGGAGTACTTACTAAAACTGTGTTGGCACATTATTTAAGAGTGTGTTTGCCTCCTGTGTGACAGCAGCATGTTTTTCTTTTTTTTTAGTAATGGAAAGCCCCCCTTCCTAAAGTAAACAGATGGAGCGGGGACCTCAGATGGATACTGAGGTATTGCTATTCTATAAACAATAGGATCACATCCAGGGAAGGGAGGAAAAAAAACACAGCTGGAGGCTCTCAATGATTCAAACTAAGATATTTTGTTGGGAAAAAATGTGAAGAATAGCTGCTGCAATGTCATCTTGCTGGGTTTTATAAATTGCATGTCCAGATGTAATCCATTGTAATCCATGATTGCAAACTACCCCTCGTGTCCCTGTGGCACGGTTTCTATCCTGCGCTTGATTAAAACAAACCCGTTCCTGAAGCCCGGCAACCACATTATCCTTCGAATGACACGCCGTTCCCTGCCATCACTGAACGGCAGATATGTTTGTCTCGGACTGTCATGCTGCTGATTTTGGCCCCCGAGGCTCGGCCGCTCGTCGCCGTTCTGACACTCCGGTAAATCACCGGAGCAGCAATTCCCAGTTTCCACAAGGCGTTGGATTGATAAAGTTTGTTTAGTGTTGCACTTCCGTGACTTAACAACAGCTAATTAGCTGTCAACTAAGAAGGGAAAGTGATTTCAATTCAAATTTGAATTCCTATGTCGCCTAGAAGGTTGTTATTTTGATTGTCAGTCAATTGTAAAGCAGAGACGTTGTGCATTGTTTAGCAACAACATTTAGCTCATTTGTTTTCATTATTCATTCAAAACCCACTACATTTTTTCTTCATTTAAAAACTTGTCTTTAATTTGATCTATTCTGTCTAACCTCTGGAAAATACCGTATTTCCCTGAACCATATCACACAGGCCAAACGTGACTCTTACATGACTAATGATACAATTCAAGGCTTCTGATTCCAACAGATTAGAGAGATTACAGATTTAACATGTGATTTACACCGTGCATCATCCCCATCTTAAGATTCATCTCCTGCTCTGCTCTTTTGTGTGCTAATCAGGCGTTTGACACGAAGATGTGGCAAGTCTAAAATTATAGCCGACTCGGTTGTGGATGTTACTGCATATAAATGAAGGGATTCAGTCCCTCATGAAGAGTAAACAAGCAGAGGACGAGGGGAAATACGCAGTGTGGCTGAACTGAGGAATTAACTGCTCAAAGATTTCCTGTTGTGATCGTGGCTATGTGTTAGCAGGGGGGGGGGCATCTTCTGCTCTCGGAGTTAGAACCATGCGTCTAATACTCGTTTGTATTACATTTTATTTTGCTGAGGTTTAAGTTTCTTTGGTTACTCGGGTGTTGTAGCCCTCTTGTTTTTCTTCTGTTTATCTCAAACTATTCTGCTGTTACTGCTGCAAGTAACGCGACGCACATTCCTCTAGTTTTTCATCGTCATGTTTTGTTAAAGAGTTACTTCAGTTGTTTAGCGTTGCACTTCCATGAAGTCACAAGAGACATGGTCAAATGGTCCATATCAGGGCAGCAGAGGGGGATATTTTTTAGTGCATTCGTCAGTCGAGGTAGCTCGTGTAAAGGCTGAGAAGCTTGGAAGGAGTATGGGAGTGTGACTAACGCGTGAACTGGACAGTGGAGGTGAGATTCAACATGGCAGTGTGTTAGGAGACAGAGCAGCTAGCAGCTACAAAACACATGAATAAAAACTAAATCACTGATCAGCCCACACCCAGAATTCATCTGCTGCTCTAAACCCAGAACAGAATAATCTCACACTTGGATGCTTTTGTTAACCACTGTTATTACCGGCTACACAATTAACCATAATTGCCAAATTTGAACATGATGTTGATGATGTCATCAGGGTTAGTTTGTTAGACTTTAAAAAGTTCCCTCAAGAACCTCGGCAGACATTAGACAACTGTCCTCACAGGTACTGTGTACTCTTCATGACTACAAAGCTGATCTGTGGAAAACACAAGTGGAGTACACCTTCAACTGACAATGTACAGCCATGGGCATTTTTGAGACAATGGGCCCCTGCAAAGACATGCAAAAGGGCCCACCACGTCCCCTGCATCCCAGCAAGACAGACTTAAATGTTGTTTTACAGCTCTTCGTAATTTTGTGTCTTTTAGCAGTTGCTCTGTATCTATTTGCAGCTGTTTTGCATTCTTTATAGTCTTTTTGTGTCCCTTTGTTGTTATTTTGTGAGTCTCCTCCTGGTTGGTACGTGTCTCTTTGAGTTGACATGTTCTAGGTGAAGGATAGGTGCGTCTCTGACACTTTGGGCCTAGTGGGCCTGTGCCCGGTAGCCTCGTTCAGTGATCCATCCATGTATACAGCAGCAAAGCTGACACATTAACATATTAAAAAACACAGATCATTTACTTAAGATACTCATTTTTTGTCCGACAGATTAGATATTCTAGAACACTTTGTTACGTTCATTAAATATTATTCACCATCCACATTCTGTTATTTATTTTGGTCCATCTTAAAATCATCTGTTCAGTGGATGGTAGTATGAGTGATCCATTCACATTTGATTTGCAGTGTCAACTCTTGGTTTCAGCAATCATTTTGAATTGACAGTAATTGTTTCAAATATTTGGCATCATCTAACCTTTTTGTCGTTCATTTGTCTTCCTTTCTAAGACGTTATAGTACAGATGGGAATATAGGAAATGCAACCACCAGAATATTACACTTCCCACACCTTGTTTGAAGGCATTACATATTCTTGTAAGGTTATTTTTGGCACTGAATCTTTTTAGATTTTGGCAGTATAGAAAATAAGACTTTATAGGTTTGATCCATTCCCACAATACAGGAACATTAGAGAGCATTACTTTATATGTATAAAACGTGTCCTGATCTCAGCTCTTTGTTCAAGAGTATTTATCTTATTTTGGCTCTTTCTTTTGTCATTTTACTGGTGGAATGTGTTCTTCTGAGCTGCCAACCCTCATATAACTATGACTCAAGCACTGATGCGGCATAACAAATGTATCTTTGGTGCGTGGAACATTTCCCACTTTCATATCCTGCTCAGCCGTAAGACTTCAGCTCGTGTGTGTGTGTGTGTGTGTGTGTGTGTGTGTGTCTGTGTGTCTTCTCTGCAGAGATCCGCGAGGCTTTTAAAGTGTTTGACCGTGATGGGAATGGGTTCATCTCGAAGCAGGAGCTGGGAATGGCCATGCGCTCCCTGGGCTACATGCCAAACGAGGTGGAGCTTGAAGTCATCATTCAGAGACTGGACATGGACGGTGAGGCAAACAAACAGCTTGGATTTTATTTGCTTTGCTCTCTATTTGCCCACAAAACGGGACTGTAGTAGGCAGTTAAAAAACCAGCGGCAATAAACACCAAATGTTCCTCTTTTCGCAGGCGATGGCCAGGTGGACTTTGAGGAGTTTGTCACTCTTCTGGGCCCAAAGCTGACGGCAGCTGGGTTGCCAGATAAGTTCAACGGCACTGACTTTGACTCCGTTTTTTGGAAGGTGCTCATTATTCAGTCACTCATTTTCTGCCTATTAGTAAGAAGATAGACAGCAGCTGTAGCAAACCTCCAAGCGCAGTAACATTTAGCCTCTGCCACAGTGTGACTTTAAAGGAAAACCAGTTTTAATTGCTGCATGCACTGGGTTGTTAATGGCATGATTTATATCGTGGAGAAGTGTGGATTCCCTCATCAAGACTTTGAGTTGGTATCTCCGCCTCTTTGTGTGTGGCGACAGTCTTATTACTTAGAACATTAAAGTCAATTTTTATGTAAAACAGATATTAATTTATTTACAGACACCTCATTAGATAATCAACTGCTCACTTTGACAGCGGGATGAAATTAATGGGATGAAGCTCGTGTCTAAGTCTCCTTTGTTGTAGTTACGTGATAACGGCGCCAGAGTGGCTGTCAGAAAGTGAGGCTCCAAATCGCATGTGAAAGAGAGGGGATTTGTGGGAATTCTTGGTGCAGTCAGTGAACGGAAAAAGAATCATAACCACAGACACCTGCTGGGAGAGTCAAGAAGACCCGAGGGACTGTTGCAAAGGCTGCATTGCCTCACATCACATTATATAACAGAATGGTAGTTTCAAGCATGTGCTGCTGGATTGATCGCACAGAGCCTCCGGTCAGACTGGTGAGCGGGGCTCAAGCGGAGCAGAAAATGAGAAACATAGATGAGCTTTCCAAACAGGCACAGACCCTGGATTGGCAATTTTATTGTTAGTTTTGGAGTTAGTCATTCACTGATTCTCTATTTTATTTAATTCTAGTTTTACATAATGCCAGTGGTGGAATATACTTCAGTATGATTAGTTAGAAACTGAACTTCCATATTTTAATTCAGATACTTTAAACTTTGAGGCATTTTTTTTTTACTCCACTGAATTTATGTAACAGCTGTAGTACCTTTGCAGAAACTGATTTTATATACAAAACACAAGACAATGTATTAAATACAATGTATTGCTATTAATGTAGGTTAAACTACCTAACATATATCATACACTAATGCATTGGTAATTACGGAGTAATCCAATTGTATAATATATCGTATGATAATATGACACCAAAAGGAGCAATACAAAATCCAATTGTGCCCCTTTACTTTGGTTGTCTTACGTACACTTTGTTGATAATACTGCTGTCTTTATTCATGGTGAAATTTTGAATGCAGGACTGTTACTTGTAATGGAATATTTTTGTTGTGTGGTATTTCCACTTTTACCTCTACTTTACTTCAATATTTCTTCCACCACTGCATAATGCATTTGTAAAAATGTAGTAAAAAGTAGTTTGATAATTAAATCCATCATATTCATGATCCAATATTTGCATTTTTAACATTACAAGTGAAAAAAACAAGCGAGTTAGATTTTCTACCATGTTGCAGGTTTGAATCAGAATGTGGAGTTGGAACTCAGTCGTCCAGCATGAAAACCACGCCGCTTACTAGACTAATGGGAAATTCAACTGGGGGGGCCTTGTACTTCGATTGGATGTCTAGTTGGTCAAAAGCTTCTTTTCCTTAATTTGTCTAAAAAATACATTTCGGATAAAGTAATATTTTCATAATCTGATTAAATGTACTGTATACACTGCTATTTAAGCTGTTATTGTTCACACCCTTTTTATGTATTGTGTGTGTGTGCCGACATACTGTATGCGTTTGTAGATGTCGTGTCCACCAGCCTGTGTCTAAGTTAATGTTCAGTTATGTGTGTCCATCTCCAGTGTGACATGCAGAAGTTAACGGTGGAAGAGCTGAAGAGGCTCCTCTATGACACCTTCTGTGATCACCTTTCCATGAAAGACATCGAGAACATCATCATGACTGAGGAGAACCACATAGCGAACCCTGACGACTGCCAGGTGGATATAGACAGTAAGGAGCTCATATACTTTCAGAGGCTTCTGCTGTTCATGTGCTGCTGATGATGCTACAAACGTCAAGTTGGAATTAAACCGGGGACATTGCAGCTATGTTGCATGCATCTTAAGATACGAGCAGCATCGCTCCGTGAAATTTGCATCAACCATGATATAGGTTTTATTGGTGTGTTTGAAAGATTATATGACCATCACAAGCCACCATATGTTACAAATATTATTTATGGAAGTGATGAAGGCCCGGTAAACCTGATCAACACTCAGTTGCACTGTGTTGAGCAGAGCACGTCTAATCCTAGTGAACAGACAGTGTGTAGTCTGTCACCACACAACATATTAATAATAATAATAATGTCTTTTCGATTGACACATTACAGATTTCCCCTTTTGAAAATTCCTCACATTGAGAACTTGATAGAGCCCTGATACCAATTTCTCCCATCAGCAGCTCATTAGCTCATAATGTATTCCAGCCGCTCATCAGCAGCTTATGAAAAACTGGACCCTCTTGGTCATGTTATGTGGTCATTTAATGTGCACGTTTAAGGAGTGTTGGAACCATAACCAACCCAGTTCCATGGTTTACATAGAGAAATATATTTTCTGTTGGAAAAACACTTTAAGACATAAGCTGTTTTTCTCAGACTGGAAATGACCTCTGGAGGAAACAAAGATAAATCAAAAGCTAAATCAATTTTACAGGTTTTTTTTTCAGTATCTTGGACAAAAATACAAGGTATATACAAACAAGGTACACTGGATATGAATGTTTCTATTTATAAATGTTGTTTTGTCTTGGTTCCTATGGTGCATCAGACTTTAATCTGCAGGTATACTTCACCTTTTCTCAGAGTGCTAGTGTTTTGAGCATCTTTTAATATGCCAGTCAGGTGCCAATCCATCTGTTTGTTGTTCCAAACCTGCAATCAACATTTCAATCTAGATACAGTAACGCAGCATACAGGTGTGAAAACAGATTTTCTTGGCAGTATTCCCCCTTTGTAATTGTACGTGTGTAATTGTCAAGGCTTTGTGATGAGTTCTTTCATTCGAATCGAGATATCTTTCGAGCATTAAATAACACCTGATTGAACAGACCTTCAGGTAATGTTTTTCCTCTTTTCCTCCCTCCTCTTCTTTTTTCCCCCTCCCAGCTTCCTGCCCGGCGCAGCATGTCAAGCAAACTTGTGTGCGCAAGAGCCTGATATGCGCCTTCGCTATTGCTTTCATCATCAGCGTCATGCTCATTGCAGCCAATCAGGTGCTGCGGAGCGGCATGAAATAGGAGCAGCGGTATCTTCAGCCTTGACCACCACCTAAAGGCTGCCTTACAAATAAATGACTGAAGAGATCATGCTTAAAAAAAACAACAACAATCACACAGCTGTAAAACAGGCCGGCATACGACTGCAAAATAACTGGAGTTACAGGACACTACATGTGGAGGAATTTGTCTTAGTCTGAGACACCGGTGGACAGATGACTATACATATCACTCTTCGTAATACAACATTTAGTATCCATTAGCTATGTGCATTTGAGCAGTGTTGCATTCAGTGTGGTGGCAGCTATAAAGAGAAGTGTAGTGACTGTCCAGTTCTGTATTTGTCTATTGTACCATGCGGTATATTATAAACGAGTAGAAAGAAATATGTGAAACATTGTGGGGACATTGGAGAACATGTATTCCTGAGGCTGGAATGTGTTGTTATGTGCGAGGTCTGGAGTGCACGGCGCTGTGGAGATATTGTGTGCGGTGCAACTTTGTTCAAAAACCACTTGGGAATGACAACAGCTTGGTAAAAAGCAAATAATAGGGTTTGCGGGGAGGTGCATGCGATTGTGTGTGGATGGTTTTGTTCATTCACAGGCTGCAGGGCTTTAGTTTGAGCAGGGTGAAGCAGGTTAACAGCTCACAGGAAGGAAGGTGTTGAGGTCTGAAAGGATAGGTAGGCCGGCTGGTAAGTGGCTGGACATGATGCAGCAAACACTCGACTCTCTCTCTCAACTGCAGGGCTTTTGGGGGCCTCAGAGGATGACCATCATCTATGCATGAAATGCATGGATTTAGTCGTCTTGACACATTTGTAAAAGTTCTTATCAATGTATTAATCATTATGACTGTGTAACAGCTGTTGTATTACTTAATGACAACTGTGAGCAATTGTGTGTGCGGAGCGGGGTATCGGCAATCACAAAAGCAAAGCATACGACTGCATGAAAAAGAAGGGCTGCTTTAGAGTATGATCTTAAAAATAGAAAAAGATTTTCAGGATTGCTAAACTGTGGACCTTTTGCCTCGCCGGCCGCCTGACGACCATCCACTGCCACCCAAGAGCAAACTACTTCAAGATGTGTGTCACTCAACCATTTAAAGAATATGCATCAAAACTGATCTGGTTGGTAGTGCGGATGCAAAATGTGCAGGAATGTATTGTGTTCCTTTTCTTTTGTTGTTTTTTTTGTGTGGATGCATTGCTATAGAGCAATACATGTGTGCAAAATAGACATCTCTCAATGCTTTGGACGGACACGAATCTTGAAAAACGTTAGCACCGATGGACCTATTAACTGTTGAGGTCAGAAAAGTTTCTATAGCACTTTTCAAATTGAGGATTTGGCAATACAACAGAGACATTGAGGGAACCGCCCTCTTGTTCAGTGAGATGCCGACAGATGAGTGGGGGACGCGTGTGCCAGAAGCTGCCCAGTGCATTGAAATCTGACAGTGGCCAAATGGTGTAAACTCTTGCAATAAAACATACCTATCTGTGAAGCACCACATGAATTTCATTGAGTGTAGTTTAGGTTGTGCATGCATCTGTGTTAGGTCTGTCATTATCAATGTGTATTGTATATAGAAACCAACTTCAACCAAAGCTTCGGAGGGTGGGGGTGGGGCGGGGGAGGGGGTGATGGCAGAACTGGGCCACATAACGAGAGCAAGCTCAGTAAACAACTGATGAAATTAACATTGGAATTATTGAGAAGGAAACCAGAAATCCTGCACAAGTCCGACAGTCACTTGTCACTCGTGTTCTGATCAGTAGACCTTCATCAGGAAAGATTTAATCTTACCTAAAACCAGGTAAAAAAATGTAAAACCAAATTTGAATTTTTGACCAAGATGTGTGGCCAAGACATCTTTGGAAAGCCAAAAGAGAAAGAAAGGCCCTTGAAAATGCCCTCAAAAACGACATACTGCAATATAGGGATGTAAATAATTCACAGCTTATGAATATCCCTTTTTATCATCTCTATTGGCAGCTCCCCAAACTTGGATCTCACAAGAGCCAGAACCTCAGAGACAACACAATTAGACGACTCTATCGCCCAGAGCCAGGGTGGGACAACGATTATCTGATGTACCCGGGCAATTTATCAAAAGTGTCAACTCTGTGGGGAACACACTCAAAACAAAACAAAAAACGTTTATTAAAAGATACCTGTTTCCATTTTTGCACTTTAACATGTGCTGCAGCGCACAACGGCAACTCACCGCCATGATTGATCATACAGTTCCTGATATAGTTTGAAAAATTAATTTACCATAGATGTATCTATTTTTGTGATAAGAATATGATGGAATAGAATATTAACTGGCTGACAAATTATACTGTCTCATTCGTTTTCTATTATATGAGGGAGCATTTCATTTCAAGTTATAATCATAATTTGATTTGTTGCCTTATTCTTTGGAATTGTGCATAAGCATTAAATACACCAATCATAGATGTATTATTTATCAACAGAGCAAAATGTGCAAACCAATTTATTTTTATTTTTACCGATGAAAAAAAAATGTATGAACATATTGATAGTCTACTGAATGTTCTATTTCCATTGTACTGTACTTTGATACTTGTCTTTGAATCTTGCAAAAATGTTTATTGACGATGTGATATCTGTTCATCGACTCCACCCGACGTTCTTCTTCTATGTCTGTGGAATGGTAATTCACACAAATAAAATAACGACCATCATGTGTCCGTGAAATAGTTCTCCATTTGTCAAATCCTCAATCAGGGAGCTTGAGATGACTTTATGAAAAGCTGAGGGTGAGTTTGACTGTATCGATTGTCATGCTGACATTTCAGATTGAAATCCATGATGGGTTTTTTTCAAGGTTAGCTGAATCCATGGATTGCTATATTCCATTTTCAGATACCCCTTTGGCTTAGTAAAGGGCTTTGGGCCCCATCTGTTGCATTTATCCCAACAAAATTGTCTCATATATCTCCTTTGTCCACTAGCGCTGGTCTATGGCAGTCTAAAAGTCTTTTGGCAGCCATCATTTAATCAAAATAAATGCTGCTTTATAAATACCGCATACAATTTTCCATTTAAGTACTGACTTTTTTCATCATGTTATTGCAAAAGGTACATTAAGTAAACAGCCACAACTCTACAGTTGTGCCTTTCCCATGAGCTACGGTGGCCTGTAAAGGCCAGTAAATCCAAAAGATACATCTTGTGAGGCAGTTCTCCATAAACATACACATGTTGGAAACATAACACTGCATGTTCTGTACATTTGGAAGTAAACATCTCTGCCTTTTTAGTGGGTAAATGTTGTGACACCTGTCTCTTGCTCACAGCATCATGTTCCATCTTTGAGCTGCTGAAAATACACGTAGGTGGGTGAGAGGAGATTAGGAGAGTGTTAAATTGCCAGGAGGCAGAGAGTTTGTGTCCCCAAAATGAGTTTAAACCAAATCCAAACTCCCTTTGCATAAACGATTTCACAATTACATCAGCGTTTTGATACTTCCTACTTCGTATTTTGGGGAGATACAACACTGGGCAAAAAAATGTGGGTGGTCTCAACAGGTTTAAACAATTAAACCCTTCAAGCTCTAATTGTCACTCCAGTAAAAAGATGAGCTTCTCTCAATGTGTTGACATTTAGCTATTAATAGTAAGTACAAGGCTACCTTCAGACTGCAGGCACAATTTTGACCACTTTCAGATGTTTTATATTATTGACAGAGCATATTTTAAAAAAGGTATTTCAAAGTTGTCGGATATTTTATTTTTTGGTACACAGTTAGATCATATGTAATACATCCTGAAATAAACTAATCTAGAAAATATATTAAAACTCCATTATTAACATGTCACATGTCATTTTAACCGCTACTAACGTACCAGACGTAAGCCGTTCAAAAGGATCTTTAAAACCAGTTGAAAAGCTGGTACAATACATCAAAACTCAAAATGGGCTCAGCCAAATGCAAAATCATGTAAATTTCTATCTCAAGCCATTTCTAAATAATTATCTATTCCTATCGGCTATAATGCACACCTTCAGCATATTTGCATTCCAATGTAACTTTTCCATCTTCACCACAGACGCCGTTCAAATCTCCCAAGTGTCAATCCTGCATAGTAGATTAAAAAAGCAACTCCCATTGTTGAGAGTCAGCAACTGCAACATTCCCGCAAAATCAGACAACAGAATGACAATTGATGTTGCATGTTATTGATGCCTAAAATAGAAAAGGCTAACAAAGATACAACTGCAGCATCCTGTCCCTCTAGGGAAGTTATACATAAATGAATATATTAGGATGAAAACCTTATGTAAGAAATACATTTGTGAAGAAAATATTTGCAGTTGCGAAGACAACTGAAACACCTGGAGTGACATTTCTATAGCCGCTTCTAGAGAGCACTTTCATGCATTTTACCATTATGAAGAAGGTCACCATCAGAAAACAGATGACTGACAATGATTATTTTGTGTCCTTTACTCGATTTTTTTCCCGCCAGACATGCTCCACAAGGTTCCAAATGGCAGCACAAGCCGTTACCAGAATGATTAACGGTTTTGTCATTCCTAGAGGGAGAGGAAATAGGAAAAGTATTTCATTTATTTTGTCTCAACATTAATCAGTCACTGAATGCCTCAAGGTGAACACTGGTAATCAAAAGGAAACAACTGACATTCATCTTTTTTTTGTGTGCTGCGTAGAAACATTGGAGACACAAAAATAGAAAACCACAAAAAAAATACTCGGCAAGCTGCCGCCATTGACCAGCAAACCATTACGTTGACCCGATGATCAATGGAGGTCAGAAAATGAAGTTCCACACAAACACATAAATCATAGCAGAAGAAGAGGAGGCACTTGTTAGTTTCTACATGGTGGCAGAGAGCCAAAGCCAGGAGCCAGTTTTATCCCAGATTCCTCTGTGGGATCAGTGACTCATGGCAACTTTATTACTCAACTGCAGGGTTCAGAGAGAGCTCCATTGCATCAGTCCGTAAAGGGCTCTCACTGAAGTTCTGCATATTGCCAGTGCCTCCGTGCACCCAGGGACCATCTTCCTCCTTGGCAAGAGCTTAATGGCTTTTCAATTCAAACTAGAAATACTACCTCACAGTTGTATGACTCTGCCAACCAGTCAAGTTGCAGTTTACGTCATGTCAGTCCAAAATGTCATCATTTCATTATTTTATCTCATCAGACATCTATTAAATTGTCATAAAAACATGTTTTGTGACGTCAACCTGGTATAACCAAAATCATACCAGGTCATCCTTGAGTCCAAGTGGACGTCTGTGCCAAATTTGAAGAAATTTCCTGATGGCACACAGAGAATGGACCAGATCGATGGACGGACGACCCAAACACATAACGCCTCCGGCCCCTGCTTTTCGCCGGCGTGGACGCATACAATTTTCTTGATGTTGCTTCAAAAGAACAAGCCAAAGTTTGACATGGTTCTTAATACGACTTGAAACACAGATATGGCATGAGCCCAATGGGGTCAGAGAGAGGACATGATAATGTTTCCAAACGTTTATACCCATGAGCTATGCAACCCCTTCGAGGAAGTTTGTTAATCTCATCACGGTGGCACAAACAAAATGGGCAATTGAGCACGTTTTCCTCTCTACCATACCTAAATAAGCACTAGAGCTTAGCCGATATGCTGCAGTACAAGTGATGATCAAATGTATTTCTGGAATGGAACGAATTAGAGAGCAAATAAAAGTTTGTTCTGGGGATCTCCGAATCTATAAAAAAAAAACATAATACGATGCATGGATAAGCAAATGTTCACATGGGAGGACAGCAATGTTCATGCTGGAAAACACTGAATGTTAAATAGCTGATTATTTGCCAGTCAGGTGCATAATGTGCATTTGTGTGCAGATAGTGAATGTGCATGCAAAGTAAATCTGAGATTCAGCGTCGCTGTGAACCATTAAAAGGCTGCAAGTTGTTGTTTCAGCCAGTTCTTTCAATCCTCCTCGCTCTCCTGGGCGTCTGAGCACAACAGATGATTATCATTTCCCAATAAAAGGTGCTAAACGCATTTGCACTATCCATCTGAGTAAATTGTCAAGAGACCGTCTGCGTTGTTTGTCAATCACTATCAATTTGCTGCCCAGGCTGCATAAAGAACACTGGTTTTTGATGGACACATGGAGCAAGCCCTCCATATCCGCAGTACTGAAATGTGTATCAGAACATATTGCAGCGGCAGATTTCAATGGAGACATTAACGGTGACATCAGGCCACACGATGATTTCCCACGAAGCGCGAGTGATTAAAAGGACTGATTCTCACAGAAGCAGCAGAAAAATTGAGATATTTCTCATCTATTACTGATGAGCTCGTTTAGCCTCCATAGCTGAAACCAGGGATCTGAGCACATGAATGATTTATTGTTTCAATCTCAGATTTCAGTGAGGGCAGAGTTAGAACTGTTTAAATCTGCTCTTTAAAGACATTGTATCACCCACGGTAATTAATAGTAAACACAAGGTGCAGAAAACTAAAACCATTTAGGGAAGTTCAGAGTGATCAATATTATCGACCCAAGTTATTGTGGGCCACAAATGAATACACAGCTCTGTAAATTAGATCCACTTGTCTTGCTCTATACTACAGACACAAGGCTTTTTGTGTGCTTGCTCTACAAATCTAAAATGTACAGTGGCTATTGCTCAATCGCCCTCAAATAATTTTAGCCTACTGTTACACCAAGTTTTGTCTCTCGGCGTCTTGGAAAAAGAGCTGTTGGACTGAGAGACAAATGAGAGAATTCTACAAAGAAAACAACCAGTGGCGGTTGGTCAATAGAGGGCACTAGAGCGCCGCCCCACCTTGAGCCACAACAAATAAAATAAAATAAATAATAATAAACTATACAAATTGTCAATATTTGTGTTTTTGAAATATGGAATCACCCAGTAATATATGTGTAAAATATGATATCTGTGGTAAATATATGCTTTTCCTGCACGTCCTCTCCGCGTGTGCACGTCTCAGCAGCTCTGGGGCGCTGGAGAAACTTTTCTCTGATTATTTTTTGAACATTTGCACAAATGAAAGCCAAGGAGATTATAAGAAACACAGGAACATCAGCCTTATAACAATTCAACTAAAACTGTATGCTAACAAACAAGTTCCAATAGGCTTCCACTCAGCCAGACATAAAAGCAGCTCATCTCCAGACACTTTCCACTTAGAAATCATCAATCATGTCTGTCCAGTTCAGGCTGCCACTCCCTCCCACCCTGTGCCCCCTTCCAGCACGGTCACACCTCGGGAGATGAAGAGTAATCAACAGACTTCCAGGAAATCAAACAATGCTATATTTCCTGCCCGGACAAGATGTCATTGAAGTTGACCTGTAGGTCAAGGCCAGTTTGCTTATGTGAGTGAGGATCCGTGAACCTATGTGATGCCATCAGTGCTGGGCTTGATGGAGTACTCGCTGCTGATGTCGGGCCAGCTGCAGATGTCAGGACTTTCAACTCTTTTTTTCCCCTCTTATTATTGGTTATTTATTTATGTTTTTATCTATTTTATGTTCGCTATTTTGTGACAAGAGGAAGAGCGTTGGTATTTGTGGTTGCCATTCAGTAAACAAGCAACGACATATTGATGAAACAACCAAAGAGACCTTCTTGGCAAGAGAAAATTAAGACCTGATACACGGTATTTTACGTAGTGTGTCTCTCAAATTAACATGCCAG